AGCTGCCGTTCAGCATCTTAGCTGTGGAGGGCAGTGTCACTGGCCCTCATATGTGGGATCCAAACCGGGGCCCTCCGGCATCCCAAGCGAGTTCTCAACCATCGCGCCACTCGGCCGGCCCCGTGCTGGTGATTTTGATCTCAGTGACGCTCCTTGGTCAGGGAGGCCCACCGAGGTTGATGACGACAAAATAAAGGCATTGATCGTGTCAAACCCACGTAACACGACACGAGAGATTGCAGAAACATTGAACATCCATCATTCAAGCGTTCATGACCACCTGAAGAAGTTGGGCTACGTAAGCAAGCTCAATATTTGGTTCCGCATGAACTCAAAGAAGTTCATTTGATGGTGCGTATAAACATCTGCAATATGCTCATTAAATGTGAGGAAAACGATCCTTTTTTGAAGCGACTGATAACTGGTGATGAGAAGTGGATTGTTTACAACAATGTGGTGCGTAAATGGTCTTGGTCCCATTGTGATGATTCACCTCAAATGACATTGAAAGCAGACATTCATGAGAGGAAGGTTATGCTCTCAGTGTGGTGGGATTTTAAAGGTGTCGTGTTTTCGAGCTCCTACCAAAGAACCAAACAGTCAATTTGAATGTGTACTGACAGCAATTGGACAGTTTGAATGAATCCATCATCCAGAAACGTCCAGAGCTTGTTAATTGTAAAGGAGTTGTGTTCCATCGCAACAACGTGAGACCACACACAGGTCTGATCACCCGTCAAAAATGATTGGAGCTTGGATGGGATGTGTTGCCACACCCACCATACTCGCCTGACCTTGTGCCGTCAGACTTCCACTTGTTTTGCTCTCTTCAAAACTCCTTGCATGGTATAACGTTCAATTCAGATGAGGTTGTAAATCAGCACCTTGTTCAGTTTTTTGCCAATAAAGACAGGTCCTTCTATGAACGAGGAATTATGAAGCTCACTGAAAGATGGCAGAAGGTTATCGAACAAAATGGGCAATGTACGGTATCATTGATTGATGTTTGTTCTTTATATAAATAAATGACTTTTGAAAAACATAGACAAAATATGTCATAACTTTTCTGACAACCCAATATTTTATTTTTAGTGTACTAATCATCATCATACATTTATTTTGAATTTGTTATGGAGGATGATGTTTTGTAGGCCAATTCAAAAGTGAGTTTATTTGGACATGTTTTGTTTCCTTGTTCTCAGTCTTCTGTAAGCCCTGCTAAGTCAGCTACTTTCTAGTTTGCTAAGTTTGGTTTAGTATGAAGAGCGTAGTCCTTGTGTGGTTAACCTATTAGTTTTTCCATTAGATTTTTCTGATTGTTGAATTATTGATGGAGCCACTTTCTATTAAGCAAAAAATTCCAGACTTTTTCTATATATTCACTAAAGAGTTCAGAAGTATTAGTTGTATAGACATATTTCTTTTTCTGCTTCTTTAAATTTCTTCACAAGAGCTGAGCAAACATTACTTATTATTTATTATTTTGTTGCCTTGGGTAGCTAAATTAATTGGATAAGGACTTGGGGATGTTGCTGACTATGACATCTTTGTTTTGGTAGTTTTAGGACTAAGGTTCAAAGTTTGTTAGGATACTCATCTGTACCTTTCACTTATTACAGCATAAGAGGAAGAGATAATAGAACCAAGCATATGAGAAGACACTTTGTAGAAACTCTTCCTTGACTGTGTTGTTGTTGTTGTTGTTGTTGTTTTTTTTGGTAGGTGTATCTTGCTGGCATGAATGAAATGATTAAACCTAGAGCAGAGAACAGTATCCTGACATTATTCATTTATTCTTTCATTCTATTCATTTAGTGCCTCTGTCCTTGGAAATTGTTTGTGCTTGGAAATGGTCATGAGCAAAAATCTTGCCTTTTTGTGGAACTTATAATCTGGAATGGGAGCTAGATATTAATCAAATAAGTACATAAATACTTCCATAATTATGTGCTGAGATGCATGCTATAACAGAAAGAAGCATAAGGCTGTGGGAATCTATAGTAGAGGGATCTGCCCTAGTCAGGGAAGAATGCTGACTGAGCTGAGATTCAAAAGTTAAGTGAGTCATTCAAGGTAGAACAAACACCTTGCCAGGAAGGAAGATAGTGCCTATGAGTAACTTCCAGAAGGCCCTGTGGCTAAAGTACGAAGCACTGAGGGTGACAGTAAGAGGGTGACAGTTATTTTGAAAATATCTCTCTGGCTTAGTGTAGAGAATGGAGTTGATGTGGGCAAACTAATTAGGAAGATGTTGCTGTGACCTGGGTGTGAAATGATGCTCACTTGGACTGAGATCAATGCATTTGGAGAAGGGGGTTAGATTTAAAAGCTATTTGGTAGACAGATGAAAGGTGTTGAAGATGAGATGACCATTTGGGGAGGGTGGAAATCAGAGAAATGGAGGTGTCCAAGATGAGTCCTAGGATTTTGGTTTATAAAACGGGAAAATCATGATGGCAAAACCTAAGTGAATGAGCTCTTGTTCATCCACTCTTTTACCGCCACTCCTTTTTTTTTTATTTGTTCTTCCTCACTTTAACTCCATTTTCTGCAGATGACCTTTAGCTCCCCCTGCTGGAATACGTTCCTGAAGCTGTGGTGCAGCATTTGGGGTTTTGTGTATCTGTCTCCCATGTATAATTGTGACCCACTTGTTTCCAGCACAGTTGTCAGCACTGCTTAGTGCTCAATGTGCATTTGTTGAAATGAATCAACTTGTTGTTTCTGCAAGCCTATGTAACTTAAATTTTTTTATTATAAATTATTGCATACACATACATGTATAGCATAAGTATTTACAATTAAAAGTACAATCATATGAATGGAAATCCATGTAATGACCACCAAGGCCAAGAAATAGAATATTACTATATCCCCAAACCTCTTTTATGCTTCTCGTCTTCCCCAAGAGCTGTTAACTATTCTAAGTTTTATGTTAATCATTATTAAAAAAATAAACTATTTTTACTATTTGCATCATGTTTAGTGTTTTCTGTTTTTAAACTTTATGTAAATGGAATAATACTATATGACTTCTTTTGTAACTTGCTTTTTCCATTTGATGTTATGTTTTGTTTTGTTTTTTTAAGATTTTTATTGGGGAATTGGGGGAAGGGGAACAGACAAGTTGCTGTCATTTTTTTCTTTAGTTGTGGAGGACGTTGCTTCACTGGCCCAAGTTGGCACCATCATTGCGCTCTTCCCGGGTGAGGCAGATCAGTCGCCGGCTTCTGGACGGC